GCTCTGCCCCAGCTGGGATCATATGTGATGATGATCTCAGAAAATCCAATGCTCCCCATAGGGAAGTCTTGGGGGTCTTCATCGTCATGCAAACACTGGTCCTGCAAAGATTGCAGGACTACAAAAAGAAGTGCTTCTAGTGGCTGTCTGAGTACCAGTGCCAGATTTGTCCCTACGAAGCAGTGTTTCTATTGCTGAAACTGCAAGGACAACAGAACCCCGAGATGAAGCTGTAGTGGTTCGGATCTTAGAGTGTTCCTGCAATGTTTATATTGTCTCATTTTGAATTCATAGGTTCTAAAAAGTCAATGTGTGCTGCCATCCCAACTGACCCACCCAATATTGATCAAAGTGTCCATTTCTAAGAGAAATCTCAGAGATACATAGACATGGAAACTATGTAAATGTATACAGTTTTGTTTCTGTATTTTTCTTTATTATTTCATCCTTAACCCCTTAAGGACCAAACTTCTGGAATAAAAGGGAATCATGACATGTCACACATGTTATGTGTCCTTAAGTTGTTAAAAATATATTGAGCAGAACATATTTAGAGTTTATGTAGGAAGTTATAAAACAGATTTTGTATCATATACAAAAGCTGTGAGAAAAGTAAGTACAAATAGTATAACACCCAGCTTGTAAACAACCTAATGGCAATTGTTTCTACATAGTTTCAGAAAAATGCAGACAGAATATGAAAACAATGTAACCAGTTTATGCACAATGCCCACATGCAGTAGATAAGTATATACAGTTACATAAGAGGTAAAATAATAAGGATGAAGTAGCTGATCCAGGAGCCCCAAAAGACAAGGATAAGGGGCTGGTGGATTAGCTCCAAAAACATGCCCACCGTTACTCTCACTGAGGATGGGTGATGACCCACAGGTAGTATGAAAGATAAAAAAAAAAAAAAATAGCGGACCAGTAAAGGCCCCGATGGAGAGAGTAACAATGAAAAGGAGAGGGTGCCCTACCTTTAATACTTCTAAGAATGAAAGAATAGCGGGTAAAAAATTAATGTAGAGGGAGAATTACACTTATACAGCTGGTAAGGTATATGTACAAACGAGCTAAGGTCCAACTAGACAGACACACAATGTGTCTAAAAAATCCAACTAGTGTCGGAACCACACACTCCCAGTGTGTATACTAGCGGCAGGTTAAAAATCACAGCGAGGAACATGGAGGAACTGAGCCTCAATAACCATAAACCAAAAAAGGCTACTGAAAAGAATCTATCCCTGTGTTACCTCGGCACTGTGGACTAACCACTAATGTCTACCTGAACCAGTCTCCCTGCCTAAATTTAAATAAAAATAAACTAGTGCATAGTAAATTAAAGTGCTACCATGTGAAGTGAAAACAAACATGAGAGTGCTCGACGTGTGTTTCGGCGTGTCAGCACGCCTTCATCAGGAGCAGGTTATTGAGGCTCAGTTCCTCCATCTTCCTCTCTGCGATTTTTACCTTTAGCTATACCTGCCGCTAGTATACATGCTGGGCATGTGTGGAGCTAGAGGTTCTGACATTATTTGGATTTTTTTAGACACATTGTGTGTCTGTCTAGTTGGACCTTAGCTTGTTTGTACATATACCTTACCAGCTGTATAAGTGTAATTCTCCCTCTACACACTATTCTTTCATCCTTAGAAGTATTAAAGGTAGGGCATCCTCTCCTTTTCATTGTTACTCTCTCCTTAGGGCGTTCACTGGTCTGCTATTTTTATAATTGCTTTCTTTATATACAGTACAGCTAACATGTTTACTATATAGGGCTTTGTATGTTACTAAATCAATTTAAAACAATCCATACTCTGTGCTGACTGACTTTTGGGCCATCACTCCTCACCCCTTTTTTCAAAAGTAAAAACATATAGAAAAGATTTTGTTATGGAAAGGTTAACTATACTTCGTGCAAGATGAATTTGATTTAACAGTGATAAGATTCTATGTGTGAGTAAATGAAATTGATAGCTAAAAAAAACAAGTGATACGTATCAAAGTATAGATTTTAAGCATCTGATAAATTGTGGTCCTTTTTGCTTTTAACATTAAACTAAGATATGTTTGATCTGAGGATTTAAAAATAAATCCTCTGTATTTAACGAATTCCCATGCTTTTGAGTTTCATTTTAGCCAGTAATTCCCTCTTTTGCATAAATCTTTTCAACAGCTTTGGTTATTATATTTACCATTTTTTAGCGGATCTCTCATCCAGGAAATGGATTAAATTAAACATTTTTTGAAAGGTTGGATTAAAGAAATCCATAAAGAGTAATAATTTATACACCACTTATAAGATCATTACTTTCAGCAGAAACTTTACCAGTCTGTATTGATTGTGTGGTGTTGAATTCAGCTTCCACAGATCACCAGGGATTTGATAAAAAGTCAAATGAAAGAAGATACTCGTATTACTGAAATCCACTCAAATTGAAACTGCCTTTTTTCTTTTGTCTTTGGTCAGCTTTTAGTTTTCTAAAATGACATTAATTCCCTTCAATATATTCATGGAACATGTTTTTGTTTGTCTTAGTGACCGAGTGTGAAAAAGGTTTTGAAATAGGATTTATTTTTAATGTACATTGATTATTAGAAATATCTATTTTTTTATATTTGATGGTTTATATAAAATATAAAATACGTTTTTGGCAACCAACACACTAGCTCTGTGGGGTAGAATTTTGTTTCAGATTGAAATACATATTTTAATCAAAAGAAGTATTGAAACTATTAGTTTTTATAGTGTAATTTGACTTTTTCTTGGTTTGTGAAATACATTTTCAAGCACCACCTATTTCTTCTCATTTGTGGGGATCTGTAAGGGACAACGGGTGGCATTGGTCCAATTCAGTCTACTGGATTCCCTTAAAAATCACTAATATTGCTTATTGGCATAGGCATAGACTGTCAGTTCACTCCCAACCATCTATAGACATCTGCAAAATCAGTAGCTTATAATATTGATACAAATTTGGAATCAGGACTAACTGGTGGTGGACATTTTTTTGAATATTTCATTTTTATAAAATAGAAACAAGATCTACTGATTAATAATGGGTGGTTGTCAGTTGCATGTACTGCAAGCAGAAATCTTAGCTATTTTAAATATTCTTGAACATACATGAAACATTATTCTACATGTATTCCCTATTACTTATTTTAAATATATCGTATTATCAGTAACCAGATTTGTATCCACAACTTTAAATTATCTCTTTCTTGAGTTGAGTTTTCAGTCTTTTTCCTTCTGCCTGTATAATTTTTTTTGTTTTGCTGTTATTTTTTTCTATCATATCTGATACAAATAATGTTTTATTTTTTTTACATTCATAGTTCAATGTTCTTCTGTTTGGGTATCAAATTACGTCTTTTGTGTGACTTTATCTCTGTAGTTCTATAGTTCATTTACTATTACATTTCAGAGACATTATTTTTCCTCTAACTTTGCTAATAAACTCAAAAAACAAAATTAACTTTTCAATTCTAATTAACAAGGTTTATTTACAAAGATATACCTCGATTGAGTGTGATTGTCCAATTTTCTAAATAAGAAATTACATAATCTCTGCTTTTAATTATATGCTCCTAATACATGAAGATACTTATTATAATGGCCTACTTTAAAATGAGGACTAAATATTGGTGGAATAAAATAGTGAAATAGTATTAAAATGTATGTGCACTAACCTTAATTAAATTTTTTTGTCAAACATTTTTAATGTGGTTGAAAGACTTGCTTGACAGAATCTAATATAATTAAAAATATTTTGGTGTGTCGTCTATATAATCTTCATATAAGTCAGGAAGAAGACTCAAGAACAAAGTAAAACAACCAATGGATCATTATTATCCATGTTTATAATTTATATCTATAGCTGATTGAGTCATAGTCTATTGGTAGGTATGGGAAAATCTTAATACCATTTACAATGACCAGTCTGAATTAAATTAATCAATACAAACATCATTATTTAGGGCTGGTATTTACAAATGAAATGTGATTTATTTCTGTTCTACAAAAAAACAATTAAATAGTCCCTTTTACATCAAAGGAAATCAATCTGAAGTGATTGTCATTAATTTGTTCCTTAGGGGAATTTTATCTGTTTTCATAGGGAAAACCAAGGGAAACTTAAGCTCAATGTATATACACATATATATATATATATATTTTTTTTATTTTATGTTTTAAAGAAGAAAAACAAGACGTCAAGCTCCTGTTCATCATATTGCAATGTACAAAGAGTAATATTTCGATGACTTGTGCCTGGAAAGTGAAATGCATGTTTTTTTACAAAATTAGACATCCACAACTGTGCACTTTGTTTATTTTGCCTACAGAAGACACATTCCCTTTCTGACAGCTGCCACTTATCAGAAAGGTTTCTCCAGTCAATCACGTGTCAGCCATGTATATTCTTCTGACATATTTCTGCTCATCAAGATGCCCGTGGTACCATTTGTGAACTACAGCTTCTGAGGTTATTCCCAAACACTTTGTTGATTGTCACCCTTAGGAGGATGCTATTTGGACCATAAACACATCAGCAAAGAATCGTTTTTCACCAAATTAATGTTTGACAAAGTCAAATGCAATATGTTTTGTTTCAGGAAAAAAGGTTGTGTAAGGTTTACTTAAAAAGACAGTTGTGAAGTTTTGTATGCTCTGTGGAATGAATCAAAACCTGACGTCTTCTTTACTTGCACATGTTTGTCATATTTTGTTGGGTCGGGATTTCTGACATATGACAGATATTAGAGGTTGATAATAAATATTAATTATTGTAATAAGTAAAGATCCTAGTTATTGTTGCAAAATTGGAAAGCTCTTACAACTGTCATTGTTTTAATAATGTTTTTAGCTCCATAGCCTTTGCCCTGTTGTAGATTCCTCTTGGTTCCTTGTATAATGCATTATATATTCTCTCATTGCCTGGTTGTTCAATTTTGGCTTGTTTATTGACCCTCATGACTTCTGCAATTCTGTCCTGGCTAGTTATGTCATGTCCTGACTTGGCTAGTATCAGCTTTATGCATTTTCACTTTTTGTACGAAAAAACCCAACCATTTTGAGATCCAGTAATCTGAGATCCTTCCTGTCTTTGTGTTCCTGACTTGGGTAGGATAGCTGTGACACAAAGTAGTCAAGCAATGGTGCCCATGAATAGAGGACTGCAGAAATACTCGTATATGGGTAGCAATGTTCTTGACTCACCAAGAGTAGCAGTAAGGATGTTTAAAAATGCCCTCATAGTTCAGCATTACTTAGACCCAAATAGTAACTTTCTGACACATTAACAAGTATGGCATCAATTCAATTTTTTTTACACTTGGAGATTTGGTTTTGTCTAAATTGAAATTCAATAGAATTTTGTCTGATTTATGCCATTCAGAATTTCTGAAACCAAAATGAATTCAAATTCCACATAATCTCATTTTGGTTCATTTGGAATTCGGAATTTATTTAGACACTTAACACCAACTTTGAATCACTAATTTACTGTTTGAGAGTTGCTTTTTGAATTTTCTATTTAATTTGGAAGAACAAAACATTTTGTTGTACACAAAACTGATTCTTTTGGATAAGCTTTTCAAATGATTACAATATATTAGAAAAAAAATGTTTGCAAAGCTGTATCTACATAAATTCCCATATCATTTAATGTTGACTTCTGTAGATAAACCATTTGTAAAGTTTTTCTAACTGATTGTGATCATTTGAAAAGCTTATTCAAAATAATTAAATCATAATAATTCAATAATTCTACAATTCCCCTTGCCTCTTACAAAGTATTCATAAGCAATATTGTTTTAAGTTTCACTGTTATGATTATTTTTCTGTTTCATTTTTTATTTCCATGGTGTTGGGAGTTATTAACAATTAAATTTATTTTTTATCAGAGCTGATGTCCTATAACAAACCTAGCATTTTTCACCCTTGTTCTGTAAACACAAAGTATTGAAGGACTCACTACATGTTCCTCTCACCATTCTCCTCTTCATTCACAAATTATCTCATTCATTCATGCTACTGTTGTAACCTTTTAACTCTTATTGTTCTTTTATAACAATTAGATTGTCTAGTTTTTAGTATCACCAGAAAGTCGCATATGTTTCATAACCCCAACCTGACCTCCCCCCTACATAGCAACCTCTTCCTTTCAAAGTATTCTTATTTACATCTGACATCCATACTCCAGCCTCCATCAACCTCAACTGGCACGTAATAAATTATAATTTCACTGAAAATCAATGTGTTATGAATATATGGCCACAGAATGCCCTACTTGATACTCTTTACTCATTTTCCTGCATTCTGCAATTCTAAATGAATTTGGGAGCTTTAACCCCTCTCCCTAGAAAATGTTGTTGACTACATCATCCTGATGCTTTGCCAGCATTATAACTATAAGGGCATTATGAGAGATGTAGTCCACAAGAACTGGAGTGCCAAAGGTTGCTTACCCCTGTTCTAGCCTTAAAGACAGATTGGGGCCACCAGTACTGACTGATCCTGTCCATCCAACTTGTCTTGTTGCTGCTACTTGCTTGTTAGTTAATCTGTTGTACAATTCTGCAAATATCTTGGCTCTTTATAAATAATTTTAATACAAATAAAAAAAGGATCGGCCCGGATGTGGACAAACATTTCAGAAGATAATGTATATTTTTTGATTCAGACAGGGTTATTTACTAATGTAAAAATTGTCAAAAATTCAAACTGAATCCAACAATTTAGACCAAAATAGCCACACTGTAAGCCTGAGTTGGAGAATTTCCCTATTATGCTATTTTAGCTTTAAATTTAAAATTTGAATTGGCGTTTTCGAGGGGTCACACAAAGATAATTGGGATCCTTTAAATGCTCTACTATTTAGTGAGTTCCTGCTCCTATATTCCTTATCACATAATTTCAGCAGTCACTAAATAATATTTTACATGATGAAGATGTTATATGCATCAAGCACCTGGATAAAAGCTAAACTGGGACACCGCTAGGCACCCTCCATGCTGGGCTCCCAAAACAGCTACATCAGCAACATGATCCATCACTGAATTTCCAAACTGGAAACATTTTTAACATTTGGACAAATGCCTAAAATATATTCCAATGACTAAGTGACCTTGTATTCTCCTTTCAACATATATTTATGTTACGTTCACTTAAAAAGACACTCCACTGCCCAAATAAAATAAAAAAAATGCCAAAATACAACTCCCCCTAAAAATATTCCCCCAATGAAAACATCCATGTATTTAATTATGCCCTTTTTAATGGTTGTAGATCTAAAACTGGCTTGCAAAAGCTGCAGATTCCGTGTCTTATAGAGAGGCCTCTAATTACTTTTGTGAGATCATGTGATCAGAGCCTGGGAGCCATGGACGTAGCCATGAACTTTGAGGTAAGCTGAGCTGTGAGGAGCCCTAGCAGAGCATTCTTGCCACTTCCATTAGCTCTGTGGAGCTAATGGAATCGGGAAGATAATCTACCTGCCTATCTGACTGTCATGGAGGTGTTTCTGCAATTCTTTAGAAAAGTGCACTTTTACAAACTGTTAGGAAGATTTGTTCCTGACACAAGTTGCTTTATGTTTGTAGTGTCTCAGTGTCTCAATGGTGAGGATTTGGTTGCCTGAAACATAAACTACGTTATTATTTGCATGGTTATTATCATTCTCATTGTCTGTCTGTTCATATTATATAGATAGAGTTAGATACCGCACCCCTTGCTTCAGATAGGGACAACGCCTGTCACACTCCTCATATTTTGCCATATTATTGTATTAGACCTGACGCAAACATCATATTAAAAAAACATATTCTTTGTTCATTGAAAAGACTCCAGAGTATCAGGGCAGGTGAGCCATATGATTTGCAGTCTTGTAGTAGTTTGATGATACTCCCCAGGTCAGAAAGCGTAACCCAATCATTAAGCTGTAATATGCACTAAACATGTTTATTGATTCATGAGTTTATGCTGACAATGTGAATGGGTGTCCTTCAAACAAAAGACTAATTTTCCTGCAGTTGATTCTGCTCTATATATTAACAACTCCTGCCAAACCACAGCCAAATTGCATCCCTATGCCTGAAATATGGAGATAAAGTGAATATACGTTTTCATAAATATGCATGCTATCTAGAATTTTTTGTATATAGGTAAAGTAAAGTTATGTTGGTTACATTATTAAGACCCCTTCAAGACTGGCATAGTGACTTCCTGGTTTGATGGGAACTCACTAAATGTGCTGCACAGCCTTAGGTTTTGCAGATGCAGGCACTTCAAATGTGAGTATATTTTTATTTGTATCATTTTCAGCTTGTTGTTTTGAATTTATTATGTTTATCCTATATTTATTTAACACATTATTAAATCAATGGGTCCTCTTTAGCCCGGAATGCCTTCCAAAAATAAATCAGCAGATGACTCCACCACGTGTGAGGAATCACTGGGTCAAGATATCAGTGCTGCTATAATGAAATCGAAGGTTTTACATATTTTCTTTTCGACTGAGAGCACTTGTCATGAAACCCCACAGTGAGCCTCTCTAGTCGGCCTCTTACCCAGGAACATGAGTTCCCTTTAAATAGAAAAAAAACCTTCAACTTCAAAAAGGATAACTACTCAAGAACAAGGGACCTGATAAAATATGAATCAACAAAACATCAACAGGTGTAATTGTGTGCACATAAAAGGTTAACCCTCTGGACATTGCAACATTTGAATTGGACATTGGCACTTTAAGGGTTAGTCCATATCAATATCTAAAAGATTAAGTCTGATGAATTAAGCCTACTGTGAACCTCAACGGATTAACACCATGTGGGAAGAGGGCATTTAATTTATTATAAATGAGTTGGCTGGACTGAATGAATTCTATATTTGCTTTTCTGTGTATGATGCAATCCCCCACCTCATGGCCACTGTCCAGGAAATCTTGGTCAGTGTGGCAGACAGCAAATGCATCTTTTCCCGCAGGCCCTTCTGGCACACCCCAGTACACTTCGCAGAGCCTTACCAACTTGTTTAAAGTCTAGTTTAGAGTATACAATTATGAGAACTATTTATCACTGCGTACTGTGGCTGACTGATGTTTGCAAAGTACCACTAGAAGAAGCACTGGAGGCGGCCAAAAAGCCCTATGGTACCAGGATGCTGTGGTAGGTTCTTTAGAGCCCTTATGGCATGAAGAAAGGATAAATGCAGTAGCAGGTTCAAAGTAAGGTACTAGACACCCTGAAACCTGTTCTGGCAGTGTTCTAAAATGAATGTATGGTATGCAAACAATGAACATTTATTAAGAAAGTTCTAAGCAACTTTCTATTCAGGTACCCTAACCCTTATGTTCAAACAGTAACATCTACATGTTCGAAACTCATTCAAAAGTAATTTACATTTTTCAGGACTCATAAAAGAATAGATTCATTGTTGAAAACATCTTCATTTGGAATTAAGTTGCAGCATGTGGTTTATAGTTTTACACATCAATGCCTTACAAAGTAACCACCGGGGAATCACTGACATCTGATTCGCCTTAATTATAGATGCTTTATTATATAAGAGTACAGAGAAGCCTTTATTTAGACAGGAACCTTCTGCATGGCTTTTGAAAGATTCCACAGTGTCAGTGTACTGAAGCACATTATGTATGAGATATGTAGATTGGCCTAGCTATACTGCTAAAATATAGTGTATTCAGCAATCTTTACTAATTAGCGGAGTAAAATATTACTTGATTTTTGAAGGTTTTCCAACATGGTTTGACATTCTGCTTTCAAAGTACCCCAGGGATTCACCAACACTTCCATGGATTTAAGATATTCTACAGTTTTCTTCTGCAAATTGTGTGCATTGTGTTGTTTGAAAAAAAGATCAATTCTAAACAATGACGGAAGCACATAAACAAGGGTGCTTTTTCTCCCACAGTGCCAGATTCTCCCCAATCAATCTTGTATTCTGCATTTGTTTGGTACGTGCAACAATATCAAAATTACTTTTGTTTCTTAGAAGAAAAAAGTGAAATACATTTTTATTCGAGCTGAAACTTTTTTGTTATTTTTTTATTTATTTTTTTGGTTATTGTATACACAATGCTTTTAGATGTTTGAGAATTGAATTGAAAAAATGATCAAAAAATGTTGGGTATTTTCTTTTTTTACACGTTGCCCTGTCAGTATAATATGTTATCTTTAGATTAA